AATACAGCGTGTATGGTTCGTTCAGACGAAAGTCAGATTTTCAGGCTGTTTTTATGTGGTAGGAATTTATTTAGTGTGACATGTTTTCTGTTCTTGCCAACCACAAAAAATGGCTGCATGTGATGTTAAGCCATCACTTTTCTTTTATCACAATTACAAACCTGGGCTCAGTGAGAACTGAAGACCAGATGTTTCTCACTCTGTCCAGGAAGAGAGGCGGATTCGTGAAGTTGTTTAAAAATAAGGCTTTGTATATATTCTGGTAGATTTCTAATTTATCAGAATTTAATATAATTGTCAAAAGAACTGACCCATGTCAAGTTTGGCACCATCTCCTGTTCAGAAGCCACACTACAGCTGCTTTTCAGAGGGAAGAGCGTGTGAGCAGGAGGAGAAACACTAAAACACCAGATAATAGAGATGTTCAGATCTGGTGGTTTCACAGTTGGAGGATGAGAGAAAACTAAATTAATACCGACTCTTGTTTAGATCCTCAAATTAATGCTGAGACACATATTCAGATATGTTTCATGGTTTTTAATATAGTTTTCAGGGGTTTCTGGTAAAATACGTATCATCAGGAAGGAAAGCGTTACATCCAAGTTATTTGTTGGGACTCTTCCAGCATCATGGTAACCTGCGGAGCTGTTTAGTGACTCCAACTGCATCCTGGCACAATTTCACCCACAACAAAGTGAATGAAACGGAGATAAGAATCTGTTAAGTGGGTGGGCCACTCTGCTCAGACCTGTCGGAACACGATCCGTCGATACAGTGACAGATTAACAATATTTATATTTACAAAAGAAAAATTTGAAAAGCACTTGAGCGCAGAGAAAGATGGTATCTCGTGTTCTCTCGTGATGATTGGTGAAATCCCAAGTGAAATTGTTTGTAACTTCTGGGGAAACTTTGGAAAAGTGTGGACGGTGGATCAGGGGCTTTTTAGACATGCGCTGAAGTGCGGACAGTTTCCTGAAATGTACTGGAGGGGCTGTTTGTGTTGTTCTCAAAATTGAAGATTTGCTGCTTTAGTCTGTGTCGTCCTTATTTTTGGGATTTGAAGTGATTGAAAGATTTCTCTCTGGCTCTAAGAAGAACTGTAGAGATTCTGTGGCACCGTCCAGTAGCATCTTTTTCTTATACATCTCAAATGTTATATAAAACATATCAAGTGTAAAAGCTGAGTAAATAAACCTTGTTACCTGCTTAGTTACCGTCATCTCCTCATGCAGAATGACGCCAAGTTAATTATAAAGTCTCTCACAGATATTTAGTCTTTTCTATCAACTCTGACTCTATTGCCTGTGTTTTGTTTTGGACCCTTGATCTAATAAGAGCCCAGTTGGCAACTTCTGATCCCAAACAAAGACCCATCTGCTTCTTATTTTCTCAACTGTAAGTAGCCCAGCCTCCTGATAGCATGAATGAACCTTAGTAAATGAATAGATCATTCAGTGGAACGACAAACCAGCACTATCCTTACTGAGGAATGAGCCACCGAGGGATTCGCAATAACAAACTGGAAAAGGGAAAATATGTGGTTTTAGACAAACTTAAAAAAAAAAAGGTTAAAATGAACGTCTTGTTTGTGTTTGTGTGGACAAACAGACGGACAGCTGCTCGACAAACACAGCGACAGGGGGCACTTCCTACTGAACAGGCTGGATAAATATATTCCTGGTGGTGCTAATCAATCACCACAGCCAGGTCATGGTGGGTCAGAGGTGGGCCTGGGTGATTGGTGCAATACAAAGGAAAGAGGAAGTGTAAAAAGTTTTTTTCTAAAGTGTAGGGGCTCAGTAGGAGGTGGGGGTGGGGGTGGGGGTGGGGTTTTTCGGTGACGTTTTTTCATCCTGCAGAGGGAACGGGCTCCACTACTTACATGACATCAGTTGCATCACTTTATACAATTAAATCTATGATATTTATAACGGACGTTGTGCAGAGCTTGAAAGGGACATTATGTGTGTATTTGTACGTGTCACACACAGAAACTGATTATTCCTCATGTGCACCACATTAATCACTCGTGATACAAAAGGTGTTAGGAAGTACTTCAGGTGCTTGTGTGAAAACTTTGCGTTTGTTATCTTTTGCTGTACATTTGTTCAGATACGATTCAGCTGCATTAGTCACGTTGGGTCCGTACGTTGTTGCTCGTGTTTGTCAATGATTCAAACACGAGAGGGAGTTTGAGGAGTTCGCACACAGTTTTATATCATTTCTAGAAGGTAATTAAATAAAAACATTTTATGACATTAATACTTTATGGAAAAGCTTTTCCCAACTCAAACTCAACCCTGTGACTTGGAGAAACAACTTGTCCCGTCGCAGTGGATGAAAGATGGACAACAGACCTGCTCCTTTCAAACTAAAGTAAACGCCACTCTCTCCCCCACCTCTCTCCCCCACCTCTCTCTCCGTCAATCAAGCAGCTGAGGCCCCTGGAAGCCTCCTCTGCTCCATCAGGAGCTGACAATTACTTCATTGACACCCAAGCGTCCCATTAATCTTCATTTGTCCCATCATATCCTGCTATTGGAATGGAAATGGACGCCAATCTCCGGTGTGAACTGACAGTGTTGGCGGTGGCGAAGGGGGCGGAGGAGGCGGGTATGGGTGCCAAAACAGTGAGGCGCGGGGTGGGGGGGGGGCTATGTCCATTTGGCGGTTTGCAATCCCAATGCATGAGGCTCACACACACACACACACACACACAGTTGGGCGTGTGGGCAGAACGAGGTAATCTGATTTCTCAGCTGCCCGGGAGACCACTTCCTGAGAGGGGGGCCAGCTTGTGGAAGGATGCCTGGGGTTTCCCATCTGTCCACCCAGGGGCGCGACTCCCAACCTACTGTTAATAGCATTAGTTTGTCTTCTAATGCGTCTTTTAGCCTCTCAGATATTCAAACACACAACACACACACATATGCAAACACACACTCCGGCTGTGTCTTAGCTGCCATGCCTCTAATGGAGTTTGAAATGAAACGCCAACCAGTTGCAGAGGTGGAGGAAGTTGCTGTCACTTCGCCACCACAGCGATGGATCAATTCTCCACAAGTGGGCTGGAAATGGGGTGGGGGGGTTGGAGGTTTCGGAGGAGAGGGGGGGTTACCCAAAATTAGTATGTGGAGGATTTCTCCAAGGAGCATCTCATACGTGCGGATGGATTTGCGGTGAGCAGTTACCAGTTTACATAAAACAGACGTGCCGACTATTTCATGGTCTCTACTCAGTGGAGATACATGATCATTATGTCTGAAAACAAAATGTAGAAAAGGGGTAAAAAAAAAAAATGATGCCGATGGACTCGATGAAAGCGGAGCGGTTTGGCAAACATATAAAGATGAATACGTAAGGAAAATATGTAACATCAGCAACAGGAAAGCATCAAATCATCAACTTTAACTCTTGTCAGCAATCACTTCATACGTTTGTCATTTCTGGAAGATAAATAAGCCATTTTGGAATGAAACACTTCCTTACAGTTGGTATTTTTAACCTGAGTGAAGGAGGAGACTCAACAACAAGACAAAAGTGGAAGACAGAGACAGACGGCTGCCTGAGCAGGAGCTTAAGGAGCGCCGCGACATCCTCCTTTCCTGAGTCCCCTTCTGACAAGGCACAGACTCCGTCTTTGATCAGCACTCAGGAAATTTCATTAGAACGGAGATGGGAGGATAAGAGACCAAAGAAAGCTTTTGTGGATGGGAAGAGGAAGAGTGGAAGATAAAAGGGTAGGAAAATAGAAAATGGACGGGCGCAGAGGAAGAAAGAGACTGATCCCCCTTTTCTCAAGTTGTCATGGAGGCGGCGAAGAAAGAAAGAGGAGCCAGATGTTTTCCTCCCACCTATAGTTGGTTTTAAATGGGCCGAGTCAGAACGGACACTATGACTCAGTTAGAGTGCATCGGTGCAACTTTACGCTGAATCATAGAGTTCGTATCACTGATCGTTGATAAAGGGAGAGATTTCTTTTGGCATTTTCACCAATTTCCCAGAGTTCATGGATCCTGATAGAAAAACATGGGACACATATAGATGGACAGAAATGTAAATGGTGGAATAAGAGAGTTGTTAATGTTTGAGTTAAATTGGGTATTTAGTCCAAAAATGGACGCACCCATTCAAATCCAATGCTAGTTTAGAGATTGTGAAGGTAGTTGAAGATCAATAGTCTCATTCCAGTCAAAGCACGATGGATTCGCTGGATTAATACGGCCTAATTTACCGTAGCTGGATTTCTGGATAAGAAGCAAACAGAGGTATTCTCCCGTGTGATTTCATCCATGCTTCCGTTTATCCTCTCAGGGGGTCATGGGGGGTTGGGACCGGATAATCCCAGCTGGCATTAAGTGAGAGGCGGGGTACAGCCTGGACAGGTCGCCAGCCAATCGCAGCTCCAATATAGAGACAAACAACCATTCACACTCAGATTCACACCTGCAGAGATTTTAACGTCTCAAAGTGACTTATCTGTTGTCTTTGGACTTTGGGAGGAAACCAAAGAACCCGGAGAAACTCATGCAGATATGAGAACATGCAAACTCCACACAGAAAGGCCTAAACTGGGACTAGGACTCAAGCTAATGACCCTGCTGCTGTGAGGGGACGATGCAAACCACAGCACCCACCTCCAAAAGTGGGGGTTTTCATTAAGAACCACATATTTGAGGAGAAAGGACCCGAAGATGTTCAGCCAATCACACTGGAATGACTGAGGACAAGATCCAGCGTAGACTAAATCACTCCAGGCCTGATTCGTCAAATTCAGCCGCCCTAAAACAACACAGTGACATCCTCCAAACAGCCAGGAGAGAGTCGAGGAAGACAGACCGGAGCGAGCGACCTTTAACCTTATCAATCACCTACAACAGAGGCAGGGAGGGAGAGGAGGCGACAAGGGACACACACACATCATCTCCCTAACCTTATCAATTACAGACCAAAGAGGAGGAAGGAGACATAAAGACAGAGAGCCGGCGTCTGTTTACCTTATCGATCATGTCGGGCCGGTTGGTGGCGGCCAGCACAGTGACGTCTCGGAGCTGCTCGATGCCGTCCATCTCTGTCAGGAGCTGAGCCAGGACCCGGTCGCCGACACCACCGGAGCCCGAGGAGCTGAAGAGGTGGATGAGAGCACAAGATTGATGAGAGGACGAGGATGGAAAATACAGTGATGAGATTGATGAGTGGAAGGGAAGATTGAAATTAAGGATGGATGACGGAGAGACGGAGAAAGGGACATATGTAAATTAGTCAGGAAGTGGGGAAAAGACAATGCTGCTTAAAAACAATGAATATAATGTGGGGAAGTGATGATGGAAATGAAACCATGATGGATGAGTCCAATACAACCAAGGCCTTAAACTGATATTTGAAGTTTTAATTCCTCAGACACTTTTTTGTAACCCTCTATCTGACGCTCTGTGAGCAGCTTCTGTCAGTTTTTACTCTTTGGCAGTAAAATCGATGTCTTCCGGTCCGATGACGTCCCTCTCAAATAAATGTAAAATAAACTGTGTTTCTTTAGAATCACCATGATCAGATTTGTGTGTTTTGTTTGGAAAAATTAGTTCACATCTCACACGATGTTAAAAATGATTTTGAGTTCAGTGTCGCAGTGTCAGGCGTCGATTTCATCTTCTTCGGTCTTCGTTATTGAAATGAGGTGAATCTCTTTTAGCCCTGAGTCTAGTGGCCAATATGATCTCTGTGACAAATTGGTTTGAAACCTGGAGTCACTTTGTAAAATGTGTTTGTCGTTACGAGGCGCTGCCAAATCAACCAGCACCAGTTTTCAGTGAATGTTATTCAAACAAGAGGAAATCAAGCTTTTGTTGACAAAGCTATCGAGTAATCCTTCTTCGACATCTTCAACATGCATTGGCTCCTTTTATTCATACTCATTATTTATATATTAATTTTTTTCAGTTTTGTGTCCCCAACATGTCAGAAACGTCATCAACATGCCCACTTGCATGCTGGGAATTTTCCTGACATTTTGCTGCTGTATTTTAAAGGGGGGAGGGGGGTCTGGAACAAGTGACTCAGGCATTTGTGTTCTCACTCCTCTTCTTCTCTCAGCTCCTCATCCCACCGTCCCTCATCTTCTTTCTCCGTCTCTCAATCTTTTCATCACTCCATCTTTCCATTCTTCTCTCTCTCTCCAATTCACCAACCCCGTCCTTCTCAATCCCTCTTCCCTCCTTTCATTTCTCTCCACTATCTCCCCTCCTCACCCAAACTTTCTCTCCCTCTACCCCCCCCACCCCCCGTCCTCCCCTCTTCCCCTTCATATCTCAGTGACAGAGCTCCTTTGTGTTCCTCTGCAGCCTTGTCTCTGCTAATGTCGTCTGGCACTTCCGCTGGCCCTGTCAACAGAGACTGTGTGTGTGTGTGTGTGTGTGTGTGTGTGTGTGTGTGTGTGTGTGTGTGTGTGTGTGTGTGTGTGTGTGTGTGTGTGTGAGAGAGAGAGAGCTGGGGAGGGTGGCTGTCTGCTCGGCGCTATGGAAAATAACCAAAGCAGGGTTGAACGGAGATGTATTTCTTAAAGGAGACAGCAGGTGATATTAAAAGAGAATATATTCCCCCATTTTCTATATTTCTTTACTTCTATATTTATATTTCTGTCTTTCATTGAAAAGTTTCAATCTCTCCGTCTCTTATAATTAGATTTTTCTTTCGAGATCCTCTGTCGAAACTTTCATCAGTTCAGAGTCAATCCTGCACAAAGCTGAAATTCTTCCTCCAATTCCAAAACTATTCTTCTTCTAAGTTATGTTTGTATCTGTCTATCCCTCCTTTCTTTCTCTTCCTGACTTCTGTCTGTCTTCCTCATTTCATTCCTCCATTTCGGACTCGTGGCAGCTCAGCTGACAGATTTACAGGTGCTTCTCATCTCCTGCCTTGAGAGCGGAAAAGAAAAAACATGCGTAATACAGCGGAGGCCGCCTGGTTGTGTCAACAGTTTTGAATTCTTGCCGGCGTGCGTGAGCCACTTCATTGATTAAACATGGCAGGAAGCGAGGACCAATAAATATCCTTTACAGATCAGCGCTAAGTGCATGTTCTTAAAACGGCGAGAGGCCTGGAGGCACAGGTCCAGCCCCACGTCCATCACAGCGAGATGACAAACGCTCATGCCGCGCTGCGTTATTAGTGAGCCCGGGCTGCAGCTGCGACGGGGTCAGAGTCGGTTGAGCATCAAGATAAGGAGGCGGTAGCTCAATCATACTGTAAAGTTCAACTGGCAGGAAACTGATTGATGACGACAAGCTGAAATACACTGGAAATGAGTCTAGACTGCGCAAAACATCAGTGTTTCAGGTTTCTCTGGATATTTAGAGAGGAGCGTGGACTGAAGGAGCAGGTTTATGTAGTGCGGCAGTGAGGAGGAAATAAGAACAGTAGAAATATGTGACGGAATAAAGATGGTTTACAGGAGGAAGTGGGACTGAGGCTACAGCCATGTTTCCACCGCAGCAACTGTGATTTGATTCTGGAAACATGATTTCATAACTTTACGCCAGCACCGTGTACTCATTACAAAAACATGTGAAGCAATCCTGATTCTTTGACAACGTGAAAAGGAGCTCAACACTGAATATTCAACTATATTCACGATTTTCAACATTGTTTTAGAAATAAAACACTTTGTGGTGATGTTATTGTACAGTAACAGCCACAGTGACATCAGTATTTCAATAGTACTGACAATAATGGCACCAGGTCCAGTACTTGTACATTGATTTGTATTTATTTGTTTTATTTTTGCAGCTGTATAATTCTAATGCGTCCAATGTCCTTTTAGTCAACTCCCTTATCTGGTCTTACATACAGCATATAAATAAAGTTTGCAATTATTAAATTACAAGATGCTGTGTACTATTTGAAGTAACTGACGAGTATGAGGGTATAAGAATATATTTGATACTGACATTGACATACTGGTGGATCTAGGGAGAAAAGATGAGATGGAACAGTGCATAAAAGTTAGATGATAAGAAATCCAATAACTTTTGTCTTCAACTCAAACTGTTTCCCAGGTTCAGGCTCACTCCAAATAAAAAAAGGAAAGTCTAAATGTGTCCCATCTCTTGTGCTTTGTGGCATTAAATCAACTGAGTGCAGGCCCACATAGAAAAGTTATAAGGACGACCCGCTGGCCTTTCTGTGCTCCCTGCTGCAACATTTAGTTTCATCGACTGGTTTACCAGGAAGCATGCTGCATATTTGGCCTTCCCCATCTGCCGTGGAAGGGCACAATGAAGTGTTTGTGCGCCTCCGATCTGTGTCCTCTATCCGCCCCCCCGTCCTCTTTCCTTTAAGCCACAGATGTTCCCGGTGCCATCCCACTAAAGCGCCTGCAGACAAGACTGTGTTCTGTGTTCGCCAGCAGTGAAAGGCCGCAAACGTCCAAGAGGACACCATGGGAACCGAGTGGCCGGCTTTGATAGTGCAGTCATGGAGACTTTTCTGGATGTTTGCTCCATCCATTCATAAGTGAATCTTTGTGAGACATGTGGGGACAGAGGCCACGGCCGGTAAATTAAAGCAGACCACAGCGATGACTGTGTATTTGTCATCGCTGGACAATGAAAGACCACAGAGCTGAAAATAGTCAACGCTGGACAGTAGCTGTGGTGAACAGAGAACAATTTCCCAAGGAACTATGAGGGAGGAAATGCATGTTTATCATGTGGGAAGGAACTGCCCACCACATTATTTCTGTCGTCTCTTCACGTCTTTTCATTCTAATTGTAGGCTTCTTTCTGTGGCGTTAAGACAAAGAGCGTGGCGTACCTTCCTCTTTCGCTGGCAAGAGCGTCGATCTCGTCAAAGAAGACGATGGAGGGAGCGACGGCCCTCGCCTTCCGAAACACCTGCGAGCAGCGTCAGCAACAATAGACGAGAGGAAAACAGGACAAATCTTAAAATGAGCCGGTGAATCACTCTCGGCCAGAAGTGTGTGCAAACATACACAGGAAATACAGCCCTCATTAATGTCATGCATTGCATCCGTTCATTATATCAACAACTAAAAATAATCACAGCACCACAAGCTTTAGGTCTTCAGTGTGGTCACCAGGAAAGAACGTTCATTTGCGTAACTTCCGTTGACGTAGGGAGAGCAAAGAACAAACTACTGTAAACCATGTGACTCCATGAAACAGGAAAATGGAGGTAAAAACACCCACCTCTCTCACGGCTCTCTCAGACTCTCCAACATACTTGCTCAGTAGTTCTGGCCCCTGAAAGAAAAGTTTGAATGTGGTAAACGCTGAGTCTCTAATTTCACACTGTGACAACTTGAAATGTATCAGCTGGTGTCAAAAAAAACGCACGATAATGTTCATGTTTCCTCGTGGACGGAAATCTACAGCCGTTATCAGAACTCACACACGAAGAACGCAGCAGGAGATTGTTCCGAACAAACGCAGATATCTTTAGATTGTGTCTTCAGCACAGACGCCGGTGACGGCAGGGCCATCTAGTTATTCTATCGCGCTAGCAGGATTATCTTGATCAAGGAATCCAAACACTGAGTCGCCATCACATCACTTATCATTAAATGTTAGAGTATATATTATTTAGACTAACATGCTTTTACTTTCTAGTATTTTTTGGCTTTATTTCGATCATCAAATTTTTGTTTTATGTTTCATAAAGATGAGGTGCAAGGGACAAAGTTACTTTCATAGCGTTAACACATTCGAAAACATCATGAAACCACTTGTGCTTCATGTTATCGTCATCAGTTAACTGTTTTTTTCCGATGTATCCGGCTTATTGAGGACAATGTCTTCCACTGCGTTATTTCACTCCTGTTTCTACTTCTTCCATCTGAACCTCTTCTTCCTTCAGCTCCGTCGTCTTTCCCTCCGTCAGAAGCAGATAAACATCCACTCAACCCTCAGAAGAACTTCCTCCCGAGCAATCCACCCTTTCAACACTTCTGGGCTGACGGGGGAGACGACACTTAACTCCCAGCCCTTTTGTCTCCTGCTGCAAGTGTGGAAGTTGACTCATTAATCCCAGGTTCCTCTCTCCGCCGCAGAGTCAAAGGTTGGACATGACGGGTTTTAAGCCATTGACGTTGCAGCGATACGAGGAGCCGGTGTGTGTGTGTTTGCGTGCACGTGTCCATGTGCTGATGTGAGTGCGTTTCAGTGGCTGCAATGGGAGGAAACTGAAATTGACAAGATGATAATAGGGTTTTTTCACACAGAGGAAACAGGCTGAGCTTTAAAGTATCCACATTTAAATCTGGATAACATATCTATGTCAAAGCAACCGCTGCACTGGAAAAACCTGATACTGTTATTGCAGATGCTGGAGAGCAGCTTTCAGCAGGAAGAGACGGGATGTTTTTTAACCTTTTTCTACAGAGATTCCTTTCAATCAGAATTCAGCAACAGTGATAATGTCTCGGACACTAACGTGAAAAGGAAAACATCTATATCAGCTGCTGCACGTTTGTGATATACACTAACAGAAAACATGAATGCAGAAGCCACAACAACTGAAGAACAAGCACAACAATGATTTTATTCCTCAGCCCTCCCGTGGTGAACCTGCCGCTAACAAACAGACAAATCAATCAATGTAGACAAACAGTTAGTTCTCTAGTTGGCTTCTCCTTTTGTTGGTATGTTTATTTGTTTAACAGGATTATACGAAACCGATTTAACTTAATCCACCGAATTCGGTGGAAGGATGAGGCCTGGGTTTAGGAACAACCCATCAAATTTATGTGCGGAAGCAGATCAAGGGGAAATTCAGGAATTTAAGCTAAAGGATGCATTTAAATAGTCTAGTAAACTAAATGAAATGAGTGAGGATGATAGTTTTACCTCTGAAATCTAATGGCACATGATTTGATCCCCACAATGTAGGATTTGTTATTTTGAACAAATTGTAGGATTAAGGTTTAAGATCTTGTGGGTGTCAGTGAAATCTTAAAGAAAATGAGTTTAATTAGAAGAAAACCAGGAAAATTTCCTCCTAAAAACAACAAACAATCACACCAGCAGCTGACGACTTAATGTCCAGAGTCGAGAGCTTCTGTCGCAGCTTTCTGTGTCACACTGTGACCACTCTTCAGAAATATCCACTGATCAACAATTCAACAAGCTGATCAATCAATCTCTGTCAACCCGGCCTGGATGGGTGGAGGGGGGGGGTGGAGTGACGAATGAGAAGGGACAAACACGGGGTCGGAGGTCAGACAAAGAAGCTCTCTGCGGAGGAAGTTGGGCAGTCGGACCCCCTTCGAGTCATCAAGGGAAACATCTCTCAGCTCAGACACCTCGTAGTTACGGGTCACCACGGTGCATTGACATGTGACGACTCCAGTTTTTTTATCAACCCCACGTCGATGATGATTTCTTCTATGTGTGAAATGTGGTGAATATTGACGCCGAATATATTTTGGGGGGATTTTTTGAGAACCAGTATTGAGGAAAGAAAGATTTCAGATACTGATATAGAAGCTGATGTATATATTAAAAGAAATGTAGGCACCAATTCCAAAGATGTCTGACTATAAGAGAGGGAGAACAATTCAGACATAGAAAAATGATCTGTTAATTTTTTCACTGCTGAAGTTTTCTGAACCAAAATACCTGAACTTTCATGAACCTTCTTTTTTTAATGTACACGATTATTAGCAAAAAACAAACGGTAAAGCAAGTTGCACAACCGACTTGACTCTGGGATGAGACAGGAATCAACAAATCATCAACCATCAAGCTGATGGCATCACTTCTAAAAAACCTGCTCCGAACGTCTTGGCGATCACTAAACCTGCAGTAAGTCAGCTGAAGACTTGTCATTTCTCTTTTGAGTGAGTTCTTGGAGCAGCTCCATTCCCTTACTCTGTTTTTCTCACTGAGTCATACGCTGTGTTTTGCCAGATCACTCAGCCAAGAGTACGATAAGAAGAGCCACACCTGTGATACATTATTTGTTCACATTTATGTATGAAAAGGTTGGGAAACACAAAACCTTTTGCTCTTATAACCTTCTTTGATCTGAACTAATCATCCACTGATCCAAAAAAATCTAAATCTCACGACCGAGAAAACGAACGATACCCCGCTGATGAACCGGAATAATGACTCACTTTGATCGCCAGAAAGTTGAGCCCACTTTCATTTGCTAGGGCCTTGGCGATCATGGTCTTGGAGCAGCCCGGGGGCCCGTAGAGCAGGACTCCTTTGGGTGGTTGGATGCCCATGCGGGTGAAGGCCTCGGGGTGCCTCAGGGGCCAGTCGACGGCCTGCTTCAGTTTCAGCTTCACCTCCTCCATCCCACCGACATCCGACCAGCGCACCTGGAGGAGGAGGAAGGACACTGATGATCTAATATTTCAGACAAATCAGAGTCTCATAAACTTGAGCTAACACGATTGCATAGTTACGCATAATGCAGCATAAGACTTTAAAATCTAATACTTAGAGCTCAAAGTCTGTTGTTAAGCTCTTTTTCTCCACAGAAAACACAGAAGCTTCTGAAACACCTCATCAGGAGTCAGATACCTCTGAACCATCGGGATAACATTTGCAGAGTGCACACAAAGAGGCTCGTCTGGCACGGAGCCCTGCACCAGGTTGGGTACCTATGGGCTAGGGTGGAGGTTTATTATATAATTTACTCACATAAATTCACAGGTACGGGTAAAACTTAAATACTTGTGGGCGGGCAACAAAGGTTTTTTAAGAATTGAAATGATTGTGTGGTATTTCTAACGTCTAAATCAGCTTATATAAGCTCTGTCAAATATATGTAATCAATCAAAATGCATCACACATCATATGTAATAGAAGTGGGCAAGAGTTCTAATAAATAATCACCATCAGTCTAATGTGCTGCTCCGATTCCCGTTCTTCTGAAATATCATACAACGTCTAATCTGCGGCGGCTTACACGCAAACGCATCGCCAACATTAAATGCAACAGACCAAACAAACTCTGATTGCACGCTGATGTCAGAGATGTTCTCATGTAACCCGCCGCTTTAAGCTTTCTGACTCCCCCAGAGAAGAACGGCCGCTTCTTCCAGACTGATGACGGGGGGTCGGGGGGTCGGGTGGGCTGAACAGAGCGGAGAGGGGAAATTTAAAAGCATATTTGGGATGAGACGGAGGAACCGGGGGCTCGGGTTGAATCGGGGAGACGCTGGACGGAGTGAGCAACAACAGAGGGCTGAGGCCAATAGCTGTCTGTCTGACAGATGGAAGGAGCGAGGGAGGAGAGGGGAGAGAGAGTCCGGCAGGGGAGAACCGGAGGAGATGAAGCAGATAAGGAAGAGAAACTCATCCAAATCCCCCTCTCTCATCCTTCCTGTCTCTTTCTTCATTACCCAACCTCTGTACCCTCCCTTCCTCACTTTCCCAGCTCTAATCCCTCCATTCCTCTTTTCTTTATCCTCCTCCTCTATAACGTCACCATCCTTCTCTCCCTGCATGTCATCTTTATCTCTTCTTTTTATCTACCTTCATATCTGCTCTTTCTCCCTATCTCTCTGTTTCTTCCTCTGTCTTATCTCAGTCCTCTGCACTCTCGGACGCTCCGCACACTTGGCTGCATCTCTGATTACATTTACATGCACTCACGGAACCCGGTCAGAGGGAGACATGTAGGAGGTTGCACAATATGTTTAAACGCACTGTAGTAGTCTGGTTACTGTAAAATCTGTGTACAGATGCAGCAGGTCAATATCAGATTTCTCCTCTATTCTAACTTATTGTTTTATTACATTACTTAATTACTTTTAAGAAGAATCTCCTCCATTTTTCTGTGTACTTTCTGTTTACCTGAGTTAGTTTCATCAAGTCTAAAGAAACAAGTTTGAAAACAAAGACAAAGAAGATTCTGGGGGACGGGAAGTTTGAAAGTTAGGCATTAACGAGACATTTGTATATTTTACTCATCTCTGCTTGAGGCTAGCAGCTCGAGGCTACGTTAGCTGCCACCAATCATACGCAGATGAATCCTTGTCGGCTCCAGATTTTGGTGATGGATGGAATAAAAGAGAACACATCTCTGGTTCTGCCGAATCAATTTTGATCATTCTTGTTTTAAAGGATAAAGGAGTGTAAAGCTAAATTGGTGTTCACTATTCTTTCAAATGATAGTTTCAGGATTGGGGTCTCCTGCAAAGACACGCAGACTCAGGTTCAGGTGAATATGAGACTCTATGATGTTGTGGTGTGAAATAAAGGTCAAATTAAATGTGGGCTGCAGCAGGATTGAAGCCACCAGGTTACTGACAGTAGCCTCATGTGTTCACCTCGTTCCTTCTAATTACCTCATTTCTCTGTTTCTTATCCATCTCATCTAACTTTTCTTTCTTTCTTCTCTCTCCCACTTGACTCCCACACTATCATACCATCCTGCTCTCTCTCCCTTAAATACTGCTCCTGACCTCTCTTTCTGACTTCCTCCTCTCTCTCTTCACTCTCTTTCACATGCTCACTCACCCCCCCACCCCTCACCCTCCCTCCCTCGCTCCGCTCTCCGTCCAGAGGTAACACATCCCAGGCCACCGGCGCCGTCTCCGGGGTACGAAGCACCTAATGGAAACCTGGCGTCTGGCCACATACTGTAAATACCGTACAATTTATGGACAGCGCCGAGTGAGAGAGGGGAAAGGACAGATGGAGGGGAGGGGAGGGGAGGGGAGGAAGGGAGAGAAAGACGGAGGAGTGTTGCAGAGATGAGGAGATACTGCAGGTCGGAAGCAGACAAGCGAACCAGAACGCTCATTTGAGGGCCCGGAGAGGAATGAAATGAAATAAAGAGCGGAGTGAGATAAAAGCAACAGTAAAACAGGCTTATAGACGACGGAGAGATGGAGGAAACAGGTGAGCGAGGGAAGACGGGAAAAGAGATAAACGAAGAAACATGGTAAAGCACAGACCCAGAGGAGACATTGTGCCAAAGAAGTTTCGCGTCTGAACCACAGACTTAATTTAAAAATGGACGACAATAGAATCATATGAGATGAAGCCTAAATATCCCGGACACAGGCGCTGCCCACTTGTACTTTTTGACTTTTGGAGGCAGAGTCTGGGCGGGAGCGATTAAAACCTGACTAATTACCCATCATCATCTCCCATGCATTCAGACATGCACTGAACTCTGGACATTTTCCAGAACTTTTCCAGAGGGGATTGTGGCTGAAAACGCAAATGTCCAAACCAGTTGCTCCTGACATCTTCCAGAACTTCTCCTGCTAGCCCCCCGGTTCAATGCACAGAAACTGGACAAATGAGCCCGTGTGAGAATTCAACGGAAAAATTGAGAATGCAAATATCTCGGGGTGAAAAAGAGAAGCCATGCACGTAGAAGACGAAGGCGAAGATGTACATGTCTACCCAGACTCCACCCCTAACCTGAAAATTCCAGAAATATTCCTGTTGTTGTGAACGTGACTGACCCAGACGTTCCCCTGCTGCATTCGTCATCTGTGATATACAAACTCCAGGAAAATGTCTGGATCCAATCTTCCACACATTTATTGGAGTTCACGTCTGACAACGGCTTCTGGAAACAGGATAACAAACAATGAAGCGAGCTAAACGTGATCCTGTTTGATTCCAGTGAAGAAACCCAATCGGAGAAAACAACTGATAATCTACGTGCTGATGTGTGCGTCAGGTCGACCACACTTCAGTAAACATTTCTTAGATTCGTGACATGACACCTTGTCTTTATGTGGCGAGCAGGAGTTAGACAATGCACCAGACAAATTCCTATCATTTCATGGTGTGCAATATCCGAGAGCCAAGTAAAGTCGACCCTCAGGCATAAAGGACGTAAATTAAAGAACGCTTAGAGTGACGTGCAATCCAACCCTGCTATCCGAACCAGATTTAGCGGGTTAGGGGATTTAAAGGCCTCCAGCCTCCGAGTTTAGTGACAACATCCTTCCGACCTGCCAATCATCCGAGTGCAAATCAATCACTAGCCTCTATCCACCGAGGAGCCAGATGTGCAACGCGACCCCATAAACTCTCGTCCTCCCCTGTTTCTGTTGCAGACTTCACTGAGTCATTGTGAGAAATCACAATACAGAGTCGGATTAATTGAAAGGCGCTTTTGTCACGAGCGTCTGTGGAATTAGAAGCCAATGTTTTGACTCACACCTCCGTGCTGTGTTTTTCCGCCTCCCTCCCCCCCTTCCTTTTTTGTACGAGACCCAGTTATTATCTTTTACTGTTGTTTTCTGAACTTTACAAGGGGCCTCTCAGGCTCTGGCCCTTTGATGGGGTTGAGAGGAGGGTGCGGGGGACTTCTCAGACACAAAAACTCAAGGGAGACGAGGAGTGAGTTTAAAAGGAGGAATAAATGGGCTTGTTATACAGCTGCCAAATGAAAATATTAAAGCCAGACTGCACGGTGGAAGATGATTATTTAAAAATGAAAAAAAAAAAAAGCAATGCTGGTTAAACAAGAAAAATGTCAAAGAGAGGAAGAGTGTCTTGTCGCAAAACAAGCAAAGGATTAAGAATGAACTTTGAATTTATTTACATGTAAATACGACGTAAATCGAGAGCCGTAATGTGCAAAACTCAAATCTCTAGGTACGTGATCTGAGAATGTTTCCGAGGAACTCGAGGCGTGTATTCATCCGGCACCACTGGAAGTTTCTTATATAAAATGGATTAGAAACAAATGTTTGCACTCATGTGGATATAATCAAGTCCGGGGCTCTGCGGCCGGCCTTTCAGCTGAGCTGTGCTAGGGGGAAAAAAAAAAAAAAAAAAAAAAAAAATTCAAAACTCAAACTCACTCCTGTCTCTTGTTTCCAGGAACCGGCCGCAAGGACTGAACGTCTCCGGGTGAGCTCAGTGCAGAGCTCTGCAGAGAGAGAGAGAGAGAGAGAGAGGAGGGGAGGCGGGTGGGGGTGAAGGGATAGGAAGGACGTTTCTTCTTCTTCTTCTCCTCCTCCTCCTCCTCCTCTTTCTCTCTTTTTTATTTTGGTTGCTGGCAGGAGCCATCAGTGACCCGATCTGCTTTCAATTACCGGTGGAGGATGATGTTAGCCCTCTTCCTGTCCGTTATGTCTTACACATGCAAACTCCAAAACATCCTGGAGTCTCACCACTGTCCTCTCATCCCACCGAACCCCCCACCCCCCAGCCCCCCCAACCTCCCTCGCTCCGCTCTTTCTCCCTCCGTGATTCATCTCTGTTGCAGTGGAGGGTAAAATGGCCACGGGGTCGTTTTCCACTCCTCCTAACCTGACCCCATCCTTTAAGTGCAGGTGATTCCGTGGTCCGAGGAGTATTTCAGGTCATTTTGCGAACGTGCGTTAGAGAGAAAAACGGGGGAAGCGTCGCTGGCGTTGATGAGCTTTTAGTGTTTCTTGTGGTGATAAGTGACGATTCTGTTTGTTTTGTGCTTTAATTAAAAAAAAAAGGCAGCCTAATCCAAACCAGTCCGCTTCCTCCCCGAGGCCATTCAAAGTTTGAATGCAGCTGGGACACAACTAATGCTGATTACAAACATAGGATCCGATACAGATGGTGTCATTAAAGATGATGCTATAAACTCGGCAGGCATGTGCAGGGAGGGTCTCTATGATCCGTGTGCCTCCTAATGATTTTTTTCTCCCTGCATGATTTTCTCCTGAGTCGTCTACGACGTGTCACAGTTGAAATGTAACCACATGTTCTTTCTTTTCTCTTGTTTGTTCTGCAGCGGGGGATAAACTTCTAAACGCCACTAACCTTCCCAAGACGTCCATGTGTTGGTCACTTGTGGTTCAGAGCGTCGTTGCCAAGTCTTTGACCAAGTCCTCGAAAATGTCTTACGAAACACAAACTTTGATTTCTTTACATGGTCTCCTCATTAAATTCAGATGTTTTATTGGATGCTGCAGCTTTATATCATCAGTGGGTCTCTGAGGTTTTCACATCAGGAAAACTTCAAGTCTGTGTTTTTGGACCCAGCTTTCCTCAGATGTAAGATCTGCATCTTTTATTGCTCTTTGTAACGTCTTTTCTAAAAAGGTGCTGATGAACTCCTCGTACTTGGACGCTGCTCTCTGAAGATGTTTTATCGTGCTGTCTTTTCTCGAGAGGTGCTTGTAAACCTTGTCTGTTGACCAGTTGCTTTTCTCTCAGTCCTCTTGGCGAACATGCAGAAAAACTAAGGCAGGATTTAAAAACCATATCCGTCTATTCAGGGCCTGGAAAGCATCACTTTTTTTCTACATTACGTCTTTTTCTTTTGCTCCTTCAACGACTTTTCCAAAGGTCCAGTAACGATTGCAGGAAGAAACCTCACCATCATTTTGACCACAGGAATCAGGTCTACATGTATTTTACTCTGACATGTTCTGATGCAAAAAAAAAACCTCTTGGCGTCAGAGCTCAACCGATACTGCTCTTTGCGAGCGAAACATTTCCCCCAAGACGTCGTTATTAAACGCAACAGAGGCTTGATATCGTACTTTGATATCGACATGTCTGTGATGGGCTCATGTCAGTGGATTGTTTAAAAGTATTTCATTTGGTCTTAAACATTCGGAGATGGTGTGAGGGCATGAATGAATAAAGCCGAGATAAAGAGGGAGTTTACCTTGGGCACATCTATAGAAACCTCCCTCATGGCGCTGGGCTTCACAGCGGACATGGCCCACTGGAGGTCCTGCAGAGTGACGGTCACCGTCCCCGTCAGCTGTTGGTCTGATGGCGGGCGGGAACCTCCCAGTGCTCGTCTGAGTGCATGTAAACCTGTAGACAGAGAGCTCACACATGTTAGAAGTCTCAACGGATCAGAGGAAGGAAAAACTAAATCCACAAAGCTGCGGCAAAAGTTCAGAAAATCAGTTACTCTCCAAAAAGCAACAAGACAACATGAAAGATGAAAAGAAGTCGGTTATAACAGAGTTTATAAAAAGCTTGTTTCAGATTTGATCCGACCACATGACGCTGCGACAGAAAAGGTGGATGACATAGAAAACACAGGGCTGTGATGTGAGGCACAAAAAAGGGATGTGAACGTTGTGTTTGTTTGACTACAAGCATCGCTGGTGTCAGTGTGGCTTGGAGTTTTTTTTATTTTTTTATTCCAAACCCACATGCACTCAGTCCAACTCTGTACTCAAAACATTCAGGCTTGTACACGCTGAGATGATACATGCCTCGCGAACGCAAATCTCAAAATGAACACTAATTCCTTTCTGAAGGCGAAAATAATTGGTCCTGCATTATCGGAGAGAAAAGAGAGTGGGCCGAGAGGAAGGGAAGTGTAAGTGAAGCGCTTAAGGTTTTGAATGCCTTCAGTTTTAGAGATTTCTCAGTTTGAAGAAAAACAAGACGGCAAAACAAACACTGGCGTGTCAAAATCAAGAACGAGCCTTTGTCAAGAGTGACTTGCATTTTGACCTGAAGGAGACGAATTCCGGGCACAGACCGACCTGCAACGTGCTGAGGTGACGAATGAGTGAAGACAAAGTGCTGCACACACCTCGGAGGCAGAAGGCACGAAAAATACTTTCAAACATGTGAGGACTGACTGAGCAGAGAACCTCTGAGGCTACAATCAAGACTCTGCTTTGTCACACGTCACGTGACCATTTAACAAACATCGGGCGTTTGTGTACTTTAACCAGGAAGCAGATGCTTTTCTCTGCAGTTGGTTGCTTGGTTACAGAAAATACAACAAACGAGAAACAACAATAGTGAAATGTGAGAGTGAGGATTTGTTTTCTTGGACGTTCAACGAGGTTGAACCGTTTCTGAAATTCCGAGCGTGACGCCTGCGTTGCTGATCTGCTGCCTGTCTGTTGATATATACTGCTAAAGGAATTCGTAGTTTTCTTTCGACAGCAAAAATCAAAAATTCACAGGAAACTGCAGCTGTTGCTGAAGCCATCGGTGAAGCGCACACGGATTCGTGTTCGTGTGTCTCTGTTTGCAATTTTCTCCACTTGACATTACAGAACAGGGTCTGCAGGTGGGTCTGGTCGCAGTATTGCAAACATTACTAAGTAGTCTTGGAAGAATGTGTGAGAAAGGGGGGAGAAAAAAAGGACAATGCAGAAAACACCATGTGTATGTCAGCTTGCATCCAGCTGTGCAGATTCAACCTCTTCAGGTGGGAGGACAGGTCATCACAGGGAAACACATGCAATGATTAGAAGTTATACAAAACCCAGCCACTAACCATGTTTCCAAATGCAGAGTCGTACATTAGACATGCAACCATGTGCACACATCACACAGACACACACACATAAACTCTTGGCTTCCTCTTCTGAGCTAAAGGGGGTGGGGGGGCGGGGGGGTGGGTGTCTGAGCAGGAGTTGGGGTGGCGAGGGCTGGAGGAGAACGGACGTGGTCCAGGGCTGGAGGCCAGGGAGCAGACGAGAGGGGATTTACGATCAGACAAGGCTGCATCCTGTTTATATTTTCCAGGACCCGTCCGACTGGGCGAGTGACGGACAGACAGAGGAAAAGAAGAAGAGGAGGAGGGACACAATAAATGCGAGCAGGTTCGTCCTCTGCGAGCACGACAAGCTGAGGCCAATGTGTTCCCCAGTCCCAGCTCCCCCGACGTCTGATGTCTTTCTTTTGCTCTTTCACTCTCCATCCCCGTTCGCCCGCCCTCCTCCTCCTCCTCCTCCTCCTCCTCCTCCTCCTCCTCCTGGCTCTCGGTCCCCAGAGGTCTCAACATCCCATCATTCCACCTGGCTTCCACTTCAGCTCTTCATCTGCGTTAATGCTTCAGACTGCACAAAAACATCTGGTCCGAGTGGAAGGGACGCGGCAAGACAGGACAGGATGTGGAAGGAAGCTGGGGCGAGGAGGGAGATGAGGAGCACCAGCCACAACACCACATGCACCAACCCCAAACTATCGGCTGCCTGCCCTGTGGAGGTGGAGGCCGCAGGAATATGATGGAGGAAACTTAGAAACATAAAAACTTGTGTAGATTTGTTTCTTGTTTTTTTATTATTATTATAACTAATATTCAATAAACAATGTGTTTCAATGATAATCCATCAAACACCTCCTGAAATCTGTGGAGCTGAAGAATCCTTCATCTCGCCGGCGTCCGGTTTGGCATTTGTGAAGTCTCGAGTCAAAGTGGATATGATTTGGACATGTGATACTTTCAATATTTATAAACTCTGAATCAGAAGGCGACCAGTGCTCTGCAGCAGCGGCGGCTGGGACTCATCAACCTAAGTGATGATGTTGATCACGACAAGTTGAACTGATTCTCCGGTTCAGGGTTCAGCGCACTGGTTCGTAGTAATTTGCTGCGTCACAACTACTGCAAGTCACTTTTCACGGTTTGAGAAAGAAAACTGCCACGAACGTCAACACAGGCCGAACAACCAGCCCAGTTCAAACAGGCAGGTTTTAGAACGAACAGTTTATTAAGAGAGACAAAGAGTAAAAACCTACAACCACTGAGTCAAACACCAGAAAAAGGTTTTTTCATGTAAAAAGTCTTCGGTAAGTTTGAGATCTGACAATTCTTCAAAACAAGGCTGCTTAAAAAAAAAA